GTTTACCTCTGTGGTCAGGTTACCTGCTGGCTAATATACCTACTGTGAGGACTCTCACCCAGTGGATAGGAGCCAACCTAACTGCGAGGTCCTCTCACCTATCTGCGAGGTGCTCTCACCTATCGGCGAGGTCTCCTTACCTATCCGCGAGGCGAGGTCCTCGCCGTGAGCTGTCAGCACCTCGCGGCGAGGTCCATGCCTAACCGACTTCCTCACTGCGAGGTCTGCAAGGTCATCACCTAACCGCGAGGTCCAAAATATGCTGCGAGCTGTCTGCGAGCTCGCTGCGAGGTAATATTTTCTCTAGGGAAAAGCTTAATTGAAACTTCTTAAGCATGAGATGTTTTAGACGACAAAAAGTTTCTCGACGCTTTTTCGGGAATGATAAACAGTTTAAAAGAAGCTCAAAAGTTTAGTTCAGAGGATTCCCTAGAAGTATGACGATTTGCCTTTGAACGAAAATGGAATACCCCGCATCAGTCATATTTTTTTTTAAAATTGATCCAAGAGCTTGAACCTGGCTCGAAGAGTTTCCCTTTGAAAAGGAAATTTTTGGTTGGAGTTTATAATTTCTTTCTCTTTATTATGATCACGGCTTGGCCTTTGTATCAGGCTTCAAGAATGGAGCGAGTATTTAACCTGGCAACAAGATTACAAGGGTCAACTGATTAAAAATGATCGCTCGTACCAAAATTTACGTTGGACCTTGAAGCTTGTGCAATACGCAAAAAAAAAAAAAAAAAAAAAAAAAAAAAAAAAAAAATTAAATAAACAAATACCATGCATTGCAAAATTATTGCAAAAACTGCGTCAATGTTTGTAAGTGTAAATAAAAATTAAATGAGATGAAAGTAATAAAACCAAAACATTACGGACAAAAAAGACAACTTATATTCTTACGGACTAACGAAACTTTCAACAACAAAAAAGGTGACTAAAGCGAGATTGTCATGGACATTATTGTAAAGGTTCCATTCTTAAGGATTCTTCTGACACCACTCTAAGTTGTTCCAGGACACTTTGAAAATTTAAAGAGTTTTGATTGGCTTGGTCCACAGAGTCACCCAGATTGAGCTCTATGCATGGCTGCACCTCTGTATTTTTCTTCCGTTTTTCCCTGAAAACAAAAAAAAAAACTCAGATGCAAGAATATTTGGGAGGGGGGGGACTTCATGTCGGTTTGTTACATGCAAGCCTTTAAAATTCAGTTGAGTGGAATTTCTATTTTTTATTTTAAATCTAATTCTGGGTCATTTTTAATAATTCCCAATTTTTTACTTCCATTCCATCAAGTGTCGTGGTCATCTCGGTTTGGGGTCACGTGTTTCAGAAGAAAACAGTCAGAGAGAAAATTACAAAGACTCTTAGGCCCATGAAAATAAGGATCGCAATGGCATACAGGACGATTGGAAATGACGCCCTAGACGTTATCACGGGAATTGCCCCAGTACATCTGCTCGTGAGAGAAAGAATGGAAATGCAAACAACAAGAAAGGACAGGAAGACATTAAAGGAAGAGCTGCTGGACGCTTGGCAAAGCGAGTGGACAGAGTTAGGGAAGCAGGAAAAGGCAAAATGTAAATGGACCAGGAGAATAATAAAAGACATCAAGAGATGGCACGACCGCTCTCATGGAGAATTGAACTTTCAACTAACTCAGCTGCTCAGTGGACATGGCGGATTCGGAAGATATCTCTATAATATAGGGAAATTATCAGATGACAAGTGCCTACTGTGTGGAGGGCTACAGGACAACGCGGAGCACGCTTACTTCGCGTGCAGTAAGATCATGGAGGAACGAGTTGCGCTGGAAGTGGAACTGGGAAGCACCCTTAACCCGGACAACCTGGTAGACATCATGCTGGAGAACAGAGAGAACTGGAAACGCATAAACAACTACGTGCAACACATTTTTGAAAAACGAGCGAAGGAGTTTGAGGTTCAAAAGCTAAGAGAACGAATGATACTACAGTGAAAGTGTGCGTAAAGCAGCGGACAATTTGTTTGTTATATTTTTGATGCCCCGACTAAGGGGCTCATTAAAAAGTAGTACTTTCTCCTGTGGGGGCTAAAGAGGCGTATTGAGTATTGCCTATCATCTTTGTCCAATTCGCTGGGTCAAAATGATAGGCTATTTTTGCGCAGGGGATCCTTCTCTGGATTTTGGGTATGGCGAACCCACGCACCCGAGCTGGC